TGTAAAAATAGTATACAAACTGTTGATGAAAATTTTTTCATTATTTTTACATTTTGTATTAATGCTCCATGAATATTCGATCAATAATTATGAACATGTATATATATACATTTGAGAACAAATGGAACAACATTTTCTAAGTTTCCAAGATGTGTTAAAACATTGTATCTTAAAATAGCTCTAAGTGCTACTTTTTCGAAAAATTTTCGAAAAATTTTAATTTGACTTTTAAACATCATAAAATTATCAATAACAATTAGCCCGATGTGATATTTTAAAGTGTTATGATAATCATTTCAAAAAACATTTTCTTACCAATACACAACATCGATTTGCTTAGTAAAAAAACGAGTATTTGTATTACCCGTTTATTCGATTATTTTGACGGATCATCAAGTGAGTCGATACTTTTTGTAGGGGTGTGTATTTTCGGAATTTATTCTGATACCACACATACAGTGGTGTGCAAAAAAAATGACAATTTTTAAAATTATTATAGTTTCACAACCATCACACCAATTTAACTGTACAACATATTGTTTTAAAGCTAAAAGGCAGCAGATTTTATTAAAAAAAATTAATATGATATCCTTTCACCATTTTTCTCAATAACTTCATTACAACGTCGTGGCATTGAATCTACAAGACTAATTAGAAGACTATTTGGAATTTTGTCCCATTCCTCACCAAAAAAACTTTCTAATTCAGTAAGATTTTTGGGTCTACGCTTCTCCACGTTTCTTTTAACAATGGCCCAAAGGTTTTCAATTGGATTTAGGTCGGGACTATTAGAGGGCCAGTCCATAACCTCTGGGACATTATTACCAAGGAATTCCCGGGCAATACGGCTAGTATGCTTAGGGTCATTGTCTTGCTGTAACCGCCATTCACCCCTCAGCATACTATTTATCTCTGGGATATGCTCTTCCAATATTTCTGTGAAATATTTTGCATCCATTATGTGCCTAAAACAAGTTAGACTTGTTTTACCTTTTACACAGAAACCACCCCATGCAAATATTTTGCTTTGGTCTTTTGGCATAGGGCGAATTGGTCTTGCATTCTTATACCAATGCTTTATTGTATTACGAAACAATTGGAAAGATGTTTCATCACTAAATAATGTCTTTTCCCAATTGTCATCTTTGTGTTTTTGTGCCCATTCAACACGTTTTTGCTTATGGACTGATGTGAGCATTGGTGTAGAAAGGGGAAGAGCATTACGGTATCCAAGGTCAGTCAGGTGTCTTGATACTGTTGAGCGAGAGACGTTTATTCCAGTATCCTCCAATTTTTCAGCAATAGATCCAGCAGAAAGTGTAGGATTCCTTCTAATATACTGGCCAATTGCACGGGAAGCATTGGTTGTTATTTTCTTAATACGACCATTACCACCTTTGTGCTTTACATCTCCAGTTTCTTCAATTTTTTTAAGGTTTCGATAGATTGTTTAAGTGGAAACTTTGTCAAAGAATGTATTTCAGCAGCTGTTCGTGTTCCCTGCTGCCAGAAGTGTAATATCATTTGACGTTGGGATTCTTGCTTAGATGCAACCATTTTGATGTTTGATAAAATATAAATTTTATTAATTGTTAGAAAAAATGATACTTGGAAATGATAGAGTAATTGTTAAGCCTTTATTTCCGTATTTAATTGTATCTTTATGACCAAAATTGAGGAAGTTACACTTGTTGATCTTTTTCCAAAAAGATTGTCATTTTTTTTGCACACCACTGTATATGGTCGAGAATTTTTCTTGGCAAAATAGATTGGTGTTACAAATTGCAATGCATGCATGGTTTTTCATGCACCTCTTTCTTTAGTTGATCCTCTAGTTTTGTATTCCTTGAAATAAAATAAAAATCAGATTGTTTTAAGGTATGTATTACAAAGGCCCATAGTTATTCCAAAGCATCTTTGAGAGTTGGGTCTTATTGAGTAAACTTAAACTCTAAATGCTCTGTGATTGTTGAACATATGCAGTGTTTTTCATAACGGATTTGATATTGTTATCAAGTATTAGAGTGGGAGAGCGTGAATAATTGATAACGTATTTTAATTGGGTGGAATCAGAGGAATAGGCAAAATACTAGCTAATAGTTTTGGTTTTGTGATTAGCGACAAAAATATTTGTTTATTTGAAATGGTCAAAACCGAAAAATACAATTGCGATCCAAAGACCAAATAATATTTTGGACTATACCAAAATATAACAAACTAAAACTAACGAAAAACTAAAACTAAAAAAAAACCCCGAAAAAAAATCACTATTTACATGTCGAATTTCAATTGCTTATATATTTGCGAATTAATTAGTGGACAACTTATGCAACTTTGGACGCTTTTATCAACTTTAGACGCTTTTGTCAACTTGGGTGCAAGCCAAAGAAATCGATTTTTGTCTTGTCGCATTTATCGTCCTTTGTACTACTATAAAATATAAACAATAAAGATCGACATAAAAATTTAATAAATAATCGTGACGAATATCATCATTTTATTCTGGTAACAGATAAAAAACAATATGCATACAGAAATTGGTGATCAAACAGAAAATTTTTCACATTGGAAACGATAAAATAGGTTACTACATCACCATCATGTGCATGTTACATTAAAAGCAGTAAAATATTTTAATTATTACACATAAGGATTACATGTTAAAATGTTAAAAATTAACCAATTATCCCATCATTTTTTGAAATAATAAACTTGCACATTTAACTTAACCACACTTTGAATTAAGTATCTCTTTTATTTGTGGACTACTTGGTAAGTCTCGCATATACTGTGTTTGCAATGGGGGAGTGTTTGTGCCACTTTGACAAGTTCGACGATTGTAATCCTCGGCAATTTTGCTTATGCGTTCCTACCAATGCAAAGTATAAATGAATATTGTTATTAACCCTTTCATTGCGGACTTAAATGAAATATGCTGAGGATGTACCTCTAATGCCGAATGTTTGACTCCAACAAAGGAATGGTTGTTTTATCTTTGACCAATCGGGTAGTTAAAAACGACCATGACCAGTAAAGTCCGTCGTATTTAAGATCCATAACATATGATTCTACTAAATCTCCTGAAGATATAGTTTAATATACTTAATTAATTGAAGTGAAAGCAAGTTTTATCAATTTCAAGCATATATATGTACCTTGATTTATTAACAATACCGTTTCTGCTGGACCACCTTTCGTCCTTAACAGCTGATTGATGGACTTACGCCCTCGCAATTGTACCTTCAACTTGTCTTTTTGTTGTTGGAGAGGTGTGAATCCAGGTGGCTTAATTTCCGAATTTAAAATAGAAATTTCATTGACTAAACACAAAAAATCTGGCCTTGTTGCAATGCCACTTGTAGCACGATTCAAGCGAATATCATATCCTTTGTATGAGTTAGTGAAAAACAATGGACGGATGATTGGATGTAGCAACTTGAAACAGTGCTCATCTTCTGATGTTTTACTTGGGGAAACATCAGGAACACTAGTACACCTGTTATATGTGAAAAAAGTTAAGAGGCAAATCTGATCTCATTTTACACATGTTATGGAATGAAAGCTTACATGTCATTAAAGATTCGGGAAACCGTTCGACCAATTTCAGAATCACCTAAGGACAAAAAAGCGGTCTTTCCTTCCAAGGAATCAGCCAATGCATTCCGCAAAAAGGATAAAACATCTATCGGTAGTACTGGATCAGTTATGGTATATGGATTTTCATGTATAATCATCTGCCATTCCCGAATGGTGAAATATAAGCAGGGTAAGGGCAAGGTGAGCTGAGAACAATTATGGAAGATAATGCCCTATCAAGTATGCACAGAAGTCATTAGCATAATATATCATCTAATATTATTACATGTCCCAAAATACTTACAACATTTCATAAAAATCACTCCATTTTAATCCTTTAGTTTTAGCCTTCTTAAGTACCTCTATTTGATATTGTCTAAATCTTCGTGATACATTGATAGTACCGAATACCCACTGAAAACAGAAACAAATTGTGAGTCATGACAGAATAAAAGCATTAGGACATTAATATGTTGCATACTTCATTGATTGGTTCTCGTAGCAACTCCCTTTCAATATTTGTAAAATCAAACTTTATTTCATCATCATCCTTAAGCCCTACGTCACAAGGGGAAGGAATCTCTGAAGACTCTTTGCTATCATTTCTTGGTCTTGGATTCTTCGTGTTTGGAACACTTTTCTTTACTTTTTTACACGTAGGAACATTTTCCTTATTTTCATTCTCTTGATTATAACATGTTGGCAATTCTACTCTCCCATTCAATTCCTCTTGTACATATTTAGTAAGCTATTTTATAAAAAAAAAATTTGACAATACAATTCCCTGGTTTTGACAGCTATTGATGTTATAACTAAACAATTATTAAATGTGATATCATACCTCGCCTTCCTCATCTGTTTCGTGTTGCCTAATCGGATCAGTTGATTTTTCTCCATTAGGATTATTAAAATACCAATCAAGCTCGTCATTCAAATTCTACAAAATAAAGTTCAGTATTTATACATTACTCAGGTGTAATTCCAAAAAAAAATAAATTTCATGAAAGTTAACTTACGCCATCATGGGATTCCGTCATGCGTTTACTCCAACTTTCCTGAAAGTTGTCTTCAGTTTTCCGCTTTTTGTGACTATTTAGGATATTTGGGAGATTTGTTACAGGTGCATTTACCTAAATAGATATAAATGAAATCAATTTGCAAAGTTGTAAAAATAATTAAGCAGTAAAATAAGGAAAACATGACAATTACCTGTTCAACACCGTGGGGTTGGTATATACTGAGAAGGTCTTGATGTTGGATATTAATAACGTGTTGTTGGCTGACATTCGTTGCTTCGAACATATGCAAGACACCATTAACCTTGTAAAAAATTCGTGTTAATCATTAAGATTATCATGATAAAACACACTAATGCCATTTACTTACGCGTGTGATTTCAATCTGATTCTTTAGTTCCATTTTTTTCAGTTCCATTTCCCTTTGGAGATGAACTTCTTCCCAAAACATGGCAACGTTTAAATTTGACAATTGGTTCTGACAAAAGAGAAATATCAAAAAAATGATTAAAAATATAAAGTAATAAAATAAGTATTCCATGACGATCTAGATGCCCTGCCTAGTTATGTTGATGCATCTTTAATCATAACGATCTAGAAAATCATCAACAGAGTACCTAGAAAGTACTCTGCCTAGTCATGACGATGCATCAACAAAAGTACCCTTTAATCATAACGATCTAGAAAATCATCAACAGAGTACCTAGAAAGTACTCTGCCTAGTCATGCTGGTGTATCTAGGTCATCAACAGTGCACCTAGAAAGTGTCTTTCTTAGTTATGGCAAATACACTTGCCTTCAAGGTAGGAAGCAATAACTTGGCTCGTTCTACTTGTTCCTTGTTAAAACACTTCTCTTTGTTATTTATAATTGTCTCCAGATTTGTTTTCAGCCAGCTACTCTCTTTATGGAAAATACCACTAAAGTCTCTTTGTCTTTTTCGAAATTCGTAATATCCGTGAATGGACCAAAGCTTTGGTGATTCGTTGAAGTATGCAAGATTCGAAGACATAGAAGATAGTTTTTCAAAAAAATTTTTTTTTTTAAATCGCGTCAAAAAAAAAAAAAAAAAAAACAATTTAATTCGCGTCCATTTGTTGTATAGTGCAAGACACCTAGTCCCACACAGTGTTGGAAATTTTATGCCGGGGTTTGTGTTACATAATAAATGCGCACATTTTTATGATCATCAAAAAAATTTTTTAATTAAACAAATAAATAAAATAAATTTTTTAATTACAGTATATAAATAAATAAAATAATAT